TTAAAAAGCAGAATTGTGATCAATTTGGTTTTGTCCATCACAACAAAAAAGTCTTGCTTCTCTTATCAATACATATGTGTGTATATATATACAAATATATGCATATATACATATAAATATACAGATTTAAAATTCTTCTAGACTGCTTAAGAAATTTTTAATTTCCCTAGTCCTTCATTACGTTATCGTTTTTCCCTTTTCCTGAACACATTTACCCTATATCAGCGTTTCTCAAACTGTGGGGCAGCCCCCTAGGGGGTGGGATATTGCTATGTAGGGAGCACGAGCATATTGAAAAGTAGAAAATAAAAGATTTTAAAAAATTATTAATTTACCGAAAGGAAGCAAAACAAAATACATCTGACATAATAAAAATTAAATACATATTTACATTGATTTAAAATACTTATAAATGTAGCAATTCCGCACAATGTGTTTTCAATAATTTATCAATATTAAATTAAAAACAAATTAAATAACAAGTAAACTAGTGCCTCTCATGGGCTTGTCATATACAAAATTTAATATATATTTTGAAAAATTGCATGGTTTATAATTAAAGTGGTTTATAATTAAAGTGGCATTGCAGCTTTAGTGTCTAAGTACATTTTTTATTGCATTTAACGCATTGTTATTGTATAAGAAGAGCACACTATGAAAATAACGATTAAAAATTGGGTCGCAAATATTAAAAGTTTGAGAAGCACTGCCCTATATAATTAAAAAACAAATACTTCATAGATTTATGCTTTATATGGACAGTTAACTCAGACTTAGAATTTTGCTTTTGAGTTTTTTATCTGATATATTGTCTGATTTTATCTGTCCAATAATGGACATGGTCGGCTGCGAGTTTCATTTTTTTGCTGGAATCCTATCTTTATCTTGTGATTGTGTTACTCTGTCCTGGGAAATTAAATGGTTATCCTTCAGATATATCATTGCATCATTAGTTTGGATTTTGATTATTTTTAAATGTTTACGCTGATAAGCTTTTATACTCCCTTATTGTATGATTTAACAAGAATTTTTTTAAAAAATACAATCTTAAAACGTAAACGTATGTAAAAAGTGAATGCTGCATATTGTGTTTTAATTCCTGCTTTTAAAAATAACAATCCACTCTGATGCTTAAAAATTTCTCACTCCCCCATATCCTTTAAAAAGATGAATCTTTTTTCATCTCATGTCATCCTCTTAATGGGAGTGCGCGGGAAGTGGAAATCAAAATCGCTCCCGTCCTTCCCGTTAAGTGAGGATGTCCCTCATCAAAGCACATTCCGCAGGACATCCAGGTTCAGGATATCGATTGGGCTCGCACCTCCTGAACTCTTACCACATCACGTTGGATCTTTTAACGTAGAACATATTAGGCAAGTTAAATCTGTTATTTATTCTTGCCTCACTTTGCTGCTTCGATACTTTCGATCTCCTTGTTTTTACCTGACTCACAAAGGTCCACTCATCAGAACCAACAAAATTTGTAATTTTAAACCACGGACAGATGACGAGGTCAGTATTTCAAAAGCCAATTATCTGTTGGATAACTCATTTATTCATTAGCCTTTATACTTTCATAATGCTACCTTTGAGAAGTTCTTATTTTTAGCTTACTTCAGTGTGTGTTTCTCAAACTGTGGGGCGCGCCCCCCTAGGGGTATAACCCCCTAGGGGCACGAGCATTTCGAAAAGTCAAAAATAAAAGATTATTTAAAAAATTATCAATTTAATAAAAGGAAGCAAAACAAAATATATTCTGACACAATAAAATATACATTTTCCCTTATATACCATACTTATAAATGTATCAGTACGGAATAATATATTTGATACTAAGTATCAATACTAAGTTAAGAACAAGTTTAATAATTACTAGCGATTTTTCCATGGATTTATAATAAACAAAATTGTACACAAAATTTAATACTTATCTGGATATTTTGTACGGTTTATAATTCAGGGTGTTGAAAGTAAAAATCTTTTTTTTTTTGAAAATTTGAGTTTTTTACATTTTAAAATTTGTCAGATTTTAACCTTTCAAAAAAACCCTTTTTTAATTTCGGGGTTTTTGAACCCCTTAAAACCTTTTTTGGATAATTTTGGATCTGGGCCACGTCCATTTTTGGTAAAAAATGTAAACAAAGTACTTCTTTTTGTTTAAAAAATTAACGTCTGATATAACCAAAACATGTAACCATTTTAAATTAAACCTTTTTTATTTTTTTTTTTCCCCCAGCCGTTTGAATCTCACTGTATACATTAAAATCAATTATCCCCAAAATGTCTTTTAATGTAGATGCCCTTTTTCTGAGAAACTACTGTTTGGTATGTAAATTTTTATGAAATATTTATAATGATGTCTAATATATACTAAGATGACATTTTGTAAAGACAAAAAAATTTTTTTTAAAACTTTTAATGAAAAAGGGGTAAAATTTTCCCAATTTTTTGATAAAATATTTATAATTTCTGAAAAACTCAAAATTAGCAAAAAAATATTTCATATAATGAGAGAGGTATATTTTAATTGTATGAAAAATTTCAAACATACATAAAAAGATTTTGAGAAAAGGTACATGAAACACCCAAATTTAACATTGTCGGTATAGAGGGGGTTCCCAACTCCCTTAGGTTGTATTGACTTTAGCGTCAAAGTACTGTACATTATTACTGCATTCAATACATTGTTATTGCATGGGGGGTGATGGAAATTATGATTAAAAATTGGGTCGCGAACATCGAAAGTTTGAGAAGCACTGGCTTACTAAAACAGGTTTTATTTAGTTTCTGTGACAGCTAAAAATATAAATCATGTACAATTTTTTTAAAAAAAAAAGAATCATGTCACTTTTTGAACATGTAAGAGACATTTAGAGTCGAACCTCGTAATTTTGAGCCTCGATAAAGTGACGAGAATGTGCCTAAGCGCACCACTCTTCAAACTTCCCACACACCACCAACATGAATACTTTAAGCCAGTGATCTTTTCAGACTGGGTTCCACGGAACCCTGGGACTCCACGAGTCAAAATAAAAATTCTTAAAGAAAATTATAAATTTGTATGTAAATCCAATTCATGTTCTTTATGAAGCTTGTATCTAAGATATAAGTATCTAAACCTCATCCCAATCATTAAAACTGAATTTTTTTTTTATACGTAACTATATTTTGTAATACTTTTTATAATTTTATTTTAGTATAATCAGAAAATATTAAAATAAAAAACGTTTTTATATATATGTACTTCCAGCTAGATTGTGAATATTCTATTGTGTTTACTCTCCATGTTCTAATGAATTTCATACTCTCGTTAGTACTATGTTTTACGGAACTAAATAATTTTCGACTGGAAAATGCACCTTTTCACTTGTTTAACATCTTTAATTAAAGAAAAGGAACAACTAATCGACATATCAACAGATTGGACATTAAAATCTAAATTTAAATAAGAACATCTATTAGATTTTAGGTTTAAAATTCTCTCATACAAAATACACACAGGATTTCTCACACAGTTATAAACATTTTAATGTCATTCAGAACTATGTACTTAAGTGAAAAAGATTTTAAAGGGAGAAATTTTAAATTTTAATTAACTAAAACTTATAAAACTAAATATTAAATAAAATAATAAGAAAAATAAATTTAGACATTTGTAGGGCTCTGCTTTTTGCTGTAATAGCCTAGTAGTCATGCCTACATTGTCATGTCACGGGTTCGAAGTTCTGATGCTCCTGAAGATCCACCGTGTAGAGGGACTAATGAACGTTAAATATGTTGGCAAAATCTTCCGTTTGTAGGTGTAAAGTTAGCGTGGGATGTCCTGGGTTTTCCCCCGTCCTTGGCATGGTTCAAAACTGCGAGCTTCGTCACCAGTGGCAGCGTTAATAAAAATGAAATAAAATCAATCTCACAAAATTATTCAAAATATGTCTGTTATCGTATCAAAGTATCCGAGCACGTTGAAATGACCAAACTCCTTCAAAACACGTATTTTTGTTTTTTTTGGTAAGGCCAACCCCTTTCAAAACATACTTTGTTTTGTTTCTACGTTACCTAGAGGTCAAGTAGCAATCAATTTTATAAAATTAGAAAATCTGAAAAAGTGAGTCTTTAATCTATACCAGAAGTGGGTATTTATAAATTCTTTATATATAAAATCTATCATGGCCAGTCTGATAACTCGAAAGGTTACTAATGTACTTCTATAAAGCTTTTTGAACCTGACATTTATATTATTTTCTAGAGAATGTACTAAAATATTTCTTATTGTATGAATATTTTTTGAGTTAGGGCCAGTTATTTAAATAATGGGTTCATTAAAAATGTCACATTTCTTATATTTACAATTAACTCTAAAATTTCTTGAATTTTAAAGAAACATTACAATTTTAGTACATTCTCTAGGTAAATGGATCTAATTTGTTTTAGAAATACTTTTACTGATATTTTATTATTTTTTCTCTAATTGCCTTGAAGTTTTACAGAAATATTACTAAAAAATTTCACTTATAATTGTTATTTTTCTAAAATTTAGATATTTTTTAAAAAAATATTGTTAGCTATATATAAATATTAGCATTTATAGGCATTGATCTCTAAAAAAGCATTTGTAACGTTTAAGTTTGCTACTTTTTAAAAAAATCATCCGAACGTGTAAAATAATATGCTTATTCCTCACTTTAAACACAATTAATATACGGAAAAAAAAATTAAGTCATTTCTTACTTAGATCAACAAAGAAAATTTTTATTTTAGTTACTTTTTTATTTAAAAAGCAACGGTTAATATATAAATAAAAGATTAAAATATGACAGAATCACACTTTAAGTGACAAAATAGAAAGCGATTTTCCTTGCAATGTTCCATTTTCCTTTCTATATAGGGTGTTGAATTTTTTTTTTTGGTTTTTGTGTGTGTGTTACTGTTTATTCATTTATTAAATTTAGTTATTCTAATAAAATAGTATAGTAAAAAAGAAATCCCATTCTCATAAATTATGCCATCTCAGGTGGGATTCGAACCCATGACCTTTGGATTATAAGTCCAACGCGCTAGTCATTACGCTACACACAACGAGCGATTTTCCTTTTTATATATGGTGTTGGACTATTATTTTTGTTTGTTACCCCCCATTTATTTATTTTCTAATTTAATTAATGAATTAATATTTAAAAAACTGTATTAACATCAAGTGTCATCCACTACAAGTTTAAAAAAATGTATTTAAACTTGAATGGATGAATAAAAAAAAGTTTTTTCAACGATTGAAAATTTGAACAAGATATATATATATATATATATATATATATATATATCTCACAATTTCACAATCAATTAAAAAATTGAAATTATATGAATTTTATAATTCTAAATCTCATTTCAAAATATTAATGGCGAATACAGAAAATAAAATACCAATGTTTTCAAACAAAATTAAAAATTTTATAAAATAAAAATTTATAAAATATCTAAGTGCAACCTGGGAACTTAGGACCGATAAGGGGTTAAACTAGTTTGATGGCGCCACTTCCCCTGTTGAAACCCGGTAAATTAAAGGGAAAAAATACCCCAATTCTAAAAATTTTAAAAATTTTAAAAATTTAAAAGTTGAAAATTAAAAATTAAACTTTTTGCCATCGCATTCTGAAAGATATCATAACATTAAAATGTTAAAACTCTAAAACTATTAAGTGCACAATATAATTGAACCATCGAACACCAAAGATGATGTACCCATCTTTACAATAGTCGTATAGGTAGAAAAAAATGTTTAAAATCCGAAAGTTCAAATTAAAAACTCAGTATATTCACAAATGAATAGCGTAAATCCTCAAAAACTCAACCAAAAAAGCATCCTATCAATACTTCAATTCACAATTTCTGAACGGTTTCTCATATTTCCTACAACAATCATCACTTCTATATTTTTTGCTCATAACTCCCACTAATGCCATATCAATCCAAATGATCCATATTCTCACATTAGAGTTTAACTATTTGGTATTAGATGCAAATTAAGATTGCATGCAAAAAAGTTTCTTGATTGGTCATAAATAATTTTAAAGTGTAAATATTGGTCTATGTGTGTATTAAAATGTATCCTGTGTGTGGAATGCACATATTCTTCACAGCTGGACCACTAACAAGCTGACTTTGTGGTCCTAACGTTGTGAGGTGGATTTGTGCATTTCCTAAAGTCCATCGTAACCCTTCACAAATTTGCCAATTTTATGAGTTTAAAAAGATTTTTAAGAAATATTTTTGATCTATGTATTTTCTCAAGAAGTTGATGGGATAATCAATCTATATGCAACCAAATATAAATTTCTGGATGTTCTTGAATTTATCAATATTGTGTGTGTAGTTAAATTATTATTTCTCATCAAAAAGTTTAAAATTATATTTCTCTATAATGATATATGTAAGCAACTATTTAAGTTCGGTACCTTTATAAAATTGCAGTTAAATGCTTCCCTTTTATCATAGATGTCGCTATATAATTTGTTGTCAATAATATATATATGGAGAGAGTGAACTAATAGTAGGAATTGAAAAATACCATCTGGGATTTTTATTGAAATAAAAACTCCTATTCAAATTGCGTGGAAACTATTATAACTGAAATTATAGTACCATGAATTAGAAACATCAAGGGTATAAATTTATTTCGTTTATGCCCCATCTCTCTATGGTACTTGGGGTGTGAAGGCACATTAAACATATCGCTTTTTCAAAATCTCCGGCTATTGACCTTGCTAGTAGATCTCCGCTCACTCTGAACAAGTTCCATCCTCAGCCAGTCCAAGTGGAGGTCCACGAGGCAAATTAAAAAAATAGAACTATTCAAAACAAAATCTAAGAATGACTCTTGGATTTAATGAGTCTTAAGGTATAATGTCCATTCATTATACCTCTGTGATTTGATCCTCCATCAAAACAGAAACCTTTCGATTATCCAGCTTTGTTTGGTCAACCGGAAGGTGGTCTTTGTCCTTCCGAATCTATTTAAACGGCATTGTTTAGGTTCGGCGTTTTCCGAACGCTCCTTGAGAGCTGCCTGCTTATTACTCGCCTGTAATGATGTGTAATAAGTGGACTCGGACAATATGGAAGCACCGCAAGGTCACTCCGGAAAAGCAATACTGTATAAATAGAATCGGGGAGTTATAGCCTATTTACAGACCAGTATTTCATTCGCACAGACTTGAATTGGATTCGAGTTATTTCCCATTTCTTTTTCAATTTTTGAAACTTAAATATTTATTTTCCATCATAATATCTCCAATTAGTTTTTCTCATCTAAAGTCGGATGGGCAAATAATTCCGTAATAGATTTCGTTAAAGCGGTTTTGTGTTTTTAAAGCGTTTAAGGATATTTTGAAAATTGTTATTATTTTCACTGATGAAGAAGGTATAAGGTAAAACCTTCGGTTATAATGTAGATTTCCGAAGGAGCGTTTTTTAATAGAACACGACAGAATTTAAAATGGTCATTCTGTTTTCAAAATGACTCGACATTCTAATGGGAAATAAAAAGGGAAGAGCTATATTTAAAAGTTTCAGAGAACAGAATAATTTTTTTTTCTCTCCCTTTGAAAATAGATTGCAAATCCAAAAAACCATATTTAGTCACAAAGAAAAGAATTTTTTTTTTTTCATCAGATTTCCTTTTATGTTCCAGAAAAAGTAAGAAAGGGTTTTCATGCGAGGATTTTTTAAAAGCACAAGTTCAAATATTTTTTTATGATAAAAAAATTGGATATTGAAAACAAAAGAATCAATACAGAAAAATCAAACTTCATCGCTCAGATTTATATATGAAAAAATTTTTGTAAAAGTTGTTTTTTTTCACATCAATAGTGAGTGAGTGAATATTATCGTCGTACTTCTCAGCAACTCAGGGCTTTTGGCGACGGACCTCATCATTTAGAATCATGGTCAAGGATGACACCTGAGCCGGCACCCCCTCTTCTAACTGCCACACCAAACCAACAGGAGGATGTTTGAGCTTCGAAAAATTTAACGCACCCCCTTTACATGGAGGGTCTTAAGCAGTACTGGACTCGAACTCGACACCCCAGCCACGAGTCCGTTGCCTTGACCACTAAACTATCGGGCCACTTTTTTCCCGTTAATAAATACTTCATATATATTATACTCATTAAATTTATGCAAAACGACTTTTTAAAGAAGGAAGCATGGAAGTCTTTAATAGTGTAGATTTTCTTTTTATAAATGATTTTTTAAATTTCTTTTCCAAACAATGTGTATCATGAACAGTGGTTATGTTTAATCTATGGGCCGCTTGGAATCATAGGTTGCAGTCCTGGCACCACAGAAGACCCACCGTGTTGAGGATGCACGTTAAATCTTGCACTGTTCAGAATTCTGAGATTGGCATGACTCTGTGAGATGGATATATGTCTTTCACCTCAGTATTTTCCCTAACTAGTGATAAGGTCCTAAACTGTTTACAAACAAGTTCGAATCCTGGTGCCACTGAAGACCTGCCTTGTAGAGGGATTGATGCACGTTAAATCTGTCTAGGCTTTAAGCTCTTGCGTAGCCTAGAGAAGTGTGTCACCTTCATCACTTGACCTTAGCTGAAAATGTAAAGGTTCATTCCGAATAGTCTTTGTGGTGCTTTAGAGAGTGACGTTCATGAGCAATCAATTATAATATTATAAACAACTAACCTATAACATGTTTGTATTTCGAGAAATGATAACAAAAAACGATTTTAACATTAAAGTAATTATTAGAACAATTTTTTTATTTTAGTTACTTTTTATTAAATAGTTATAATAAATATGCATATACAAATGGCAGAATCGCAATATTAAGTGACAAAATAGAAAGCGATTTTCTATTTTCCTTTCTATATAGGTTATTGGACTATTATTTTTGTTTGTTACTATTTATATTCATTCACATAAATCACATTCTCAGAAATTAGGCAATCTCAGGTATCATTCGAACCCACGACCTTTGAATTAGAAGTTCAACACACAATCCATTGCGCTACAGAGACACAACGAACGATTTTCCTTTTTATATACGGTGTGAATAATTATTTTTTTGTTATTTATTACTGTTTTAAAAAATGTATTTGAACTTGAGTAGATGAATAAAAAGTATTTTATTAACACTTAAAATTTAAAATAATACAATATATATATATATATATATATATATATATATATATATATATATATATATATATAAAGAAGAGAAAGAACTAATAGGAATTGAAAAAAAAACATGTATTCATCAAAATTAAGTTTATTAGAGTACACATTTAAGAACATCTAATAAATTGATCGGGCTTCGATTGAGAGTAAATATTTTCGAAACAATTGCTTCCGGTAGAAAAATGTCCCATGTTAAGCTTTAATAATGTTAATGTCATGTTAAGCTGAAGATAAGCTTTATGGCTTTCAACACAACATTGGGGTGAGTCGGACTGTATCACAATTATCACAACCCGACGCTTTTCTCGTAAGAATCACTCATCTAACTTGACGATCCGAATTCCAAAGTCAACTGATGAGATGAGATGTTTTTATGTAGCGTTTGTAGGGTAAAACTAGCTCAGATAAACAAAAATGACTCGCGTGTCACAGGCTATTCCGAGAGTATTTCAAAACCTCCTTTCTACGAAACATGGGACACCACCTCTCTCTTTCATTTCACACTCCTCTTGAACCTCGCCTGCGCGGCTGGTGTTTTCCGTATTTTGTTCATTCTGAAAAGGGAAATCTTTTCGTGTTAGGAGAAAAAATGCATGAAAATACATAGTAGTTTGTCGGGACTGTTGTATTATTTCGTGTTAACCGATATTTCATTTTAAGCGTTTTCGTGTTAAACGTATTTCACTGTATATAAGTACCTATGTGTATACTTTTTATCCTGTCTTCCTGTTTAAAGGTATTAGCCCGAAATTAAGAAATATTTTGTTTACATTCGCAATATTTTTTCTCCGTGCTTGTTTTGACTTTAATTTGTATTTCTCTCATCCTATCTTATCGCAATGACTTATTCTCACTCCCCCAATCTCTCTTCTTTAAAA